TGAATAAATGAGTGCATATTTTTAGTGGTTTAAGAAAGAAATGATTAATTCTTAATATTTGTGATCTTAAAAGATATTTAATATAGCCAAATGGAAACAAATATATGCATTTATAAAACTAAAAAGTTTAATTAAAAAGTTTCATCCCATTATTTAAAAGGTTATCCACATGAAATTCCTATAATTTGGGGTATTTTCTGTTTCCTTTCTAGAATAATGGCCAGACTCCTTAAGACAAAGCACAGAGAATGACTAAAAGTAATTGTCCTAGGCAAAAGTGGGGTGGGTAGGGAGCAGGGGCATTGATATAAAATTACCTGATAAATACATTATTGTATTTTCTTTTAGTAATTTACCAGGTATTGCCTTAATTAAAATTATGTCTGTTCAGTTCAACATCACTAAGTATCAGGAAAATACAAATTAAAACCACAATGAGATATACCTCACACCTGTCAGAATGGCTATCATAAAAAAATTAACAAGCAACAAATATTGGTGATGACGTGGAAAAAAGGGAACTCTCCTGCATGGTTGATGGGATTATGAATTGGTGTATTCACTATGAAAAAGAGTAGGGAGTTTCCTCAAAAAATTAAAAATAGAACTACCATATGACCCAGAAATTCCACTTCTGGTCATTTATCCAAAGAAATCCAAAACACTAATTTGAAAAGACATATGCACCACTATGTTTACTGCAGCATTATTTACAATAGCCAAGATATGGAAGCAACCTAGTTGTCCATCAATAGATGAGTGGATAAAAGATGTGGTACATATAAGAAAGACAAATACCATATGATCTCACTTATTTGTGGAATATAATGAAGAAAAAAAAGCTGATGAACAAAATAGACCCGGAGACATAGAAAGGAATATGGTTCAGATTGACAAACCTCAGAGGAGGAGGGCAAGAGGGGATGAGATAAACCAACGAACTTATATGGGCAAATGCGTAACCAATGGACATAAACAACAATGCTGGGGGGGAGGGAACAGGATCATGAGGAGGGTATCTAGGGGGGAAAAAGAAGAAACATCTGTAACAAAAATAAATTAATAAAAATTACAATAATAAAATAAAAAGATGTGCCCTGGCCAGTTTGGCTCAGCGGTTAGAGCGTCGGCCTGCGGTCCGGAGAGACGCGGGTTCGGTTCCCGCTAAGGGCACGTACCTCGGTTGCAGTTTGTCCCCGGCCCTGGTCAGTCGTGTGGGTTGCAGCCACTCGATGTGTCCCTTTCGCATCGATGTTTCTCTCTCTCTCTCTCTGTTCCTTTCTCTCCCTCCCACTCTACCTGAACAAAATATAGAAAAATGTCCTCAGGTGAGGATAAAAAATAAAAATAAAAATAAATAAATAAATAAATAAATAAAAAGATGTGGTACATATATACAATGAAATATTAGTCAGCCATAAAAAAGAATGAAATCTTGCCATTTGCAACAACATGGCTGGACCTAGAGGGTATTATGCGAAGTGAAATAAATCAGACAGAGAAACACACATACCATATGATTTTACTTATATATGGAATCTAAAAAACAAAATAAATAAACAAAACAGAAACAGACTCATATATACAGAGAACAAACTGATGGTTGCCAGAGGGAAAGGGGTTAGGAGACTGGTGAAAAAGGGTAAGGGATTAAAATGTACCAACTGTCAGTTATAAAAATAGTCATGGAGATACAAAATAAGGCATAGGGAGTACAGTCAATATTATTAATAACTATGTATGGTGTCAGATGGGTACTAGACCTACAAGATCACACTTTGTAAGTTATATAAATATCTGATCCCTATGCTGTACATCTGAAATTAATATATTGTATGTCAACTGTAATTAAAAATATTTAAATTTAAAATTGTTTGTTCATGTGTCACCTTCCACCAGAGTATAAGCTTCTTGTGTTGCGTAAGCTTCTTACTTAAGCATCTTTTTATTCTCCTATAATGCCTCTCTGAATGTGTTGCAAATAGTAAACAATCAGAAATCACATTTATGTAATGAAAAATACCTGTGGGTGTCAAATAAAATTATATATGTATGCTCTCTGAATATATATTATATATATGGCAGTAAAATAATAGTTTCTAAATCTATTAATGCCTTGCTAGAATACATTTGCTTGTTGACAAAGGTCATACATCTTCATAAAATTTACAAAGAGAGAACAGAGAATTTTAAAATATGTACAAAGACAAACTGTCCTAAAAATACTTTGCTTTAATTAGTGATAGCATCAACACCACAGAACATAAGCAGGAGGTTTCAATCTGAAAAGCTCATAACGATAAAAAAGATGATGCAACTACTTCAGTCTAGACTTGTTAACTGAAATTATCTTCATATGCTATCCAACAGATTACTTATACTTTGATAGGTTTATGGAAAAATATTCTGTGTGTATTCCTTTAGGTTACTTTCAAAAAATACAGACAGGCTTCCTAGGTGCATTTACCAGAAGGTGACAGAGATCAAGCTTCAGGACCCCTCCCTTGACCTGGCAGAAAGCCCCAGCAACTGCTCAAGTATTATTTTTCCTAAGACCCCACACCTCCACCCCACCTAATATACACAACTGCATAGGCTTCAGGTACATAAAACATGGACCCATGCCTGCCAGTCCTCCATGAGAATATTAATATTAAGAAAACTAGGCTATAATTTACAAAAATGATACAAAACTCATTTATTAATTTCCAGCATCTCTCAATAGTCCAAGCAAAGTGAGGCAAGTGGGGTCCAAGGGTGCTTCTCTTTGCAGCATACTGTTGGTATTGCTTTTTCCAGGATACAAAATGAACTCTTGGAAACCATAGATAAAAGCTACTTTCATTAAATGTGTGTGTGTGTGTGTGTGTGTGTGTGCGCGCGTGCGTGTGTATATATTCCTAGATAGTTACTACCCATAAAAGTTAGGTAATGTAGTGAAACCAGATTGCTAGCGTTTAGAAATTAATTTCAATACTAAATAAATTGTCCTTCTTGGTGCTAAGTATAACAGGTGAAAATAACCCACCCGTTTCCATTCTTAATTTGTTCTAGTGGTGGTGTATCACAAAACTAAGCAGTGCAACCAAATGTTAATTGTGTGATTTAATTAAGGAATTACAATAAGTCTTACCCGAAATTCGCTACATTAGGAACCATATTTGACATGAGGACCAAAAGAAACCAAAAAGCCCTGCTGTCATCTTGGCTTTTGGCTTCTGAAGTTTCCAAAATCGAGTGGTGATTTTTCAAAAGCCAGAGAGAAGTTGAGGTTAGAGTGGGGGTATTCATACAAGCCTACACCTTCCTATCCCGACTCCTACCCTCCTTCTGTGTTTGGAACTCTGTTCTTCCCCTCCGGGTGTAGTACGCAGTTAACTTTTCGTTGGTAGGTAAAGTGGTACTAATATCTGGTAGATTTTTAAAAGTACCACAGCATGTGCTGTTAGCTATGCCTACACTACAATGACTTGACTTTGAGGACAAGCCCCTCTCTCCACCTCAGAGCAGGTCCACAGGGCATTTCCTCTGCCCCCTCGGAGTCCTTCAGTTTGGGAATGGTCCCGGGCCACTTCTCCAAGGAGAGGCACCGGCGGCCCGCGGCCTCCGGGCGCCCTGCGCCTGCCCTGGTGGAGACACCCTTAGTAAGATCTCCTTGGGGTAGCCGTACCACCAAGGGAAAGCCACAAGGGAAAGCAAAAAGGTGGCCACGACGCACTTCGACTAAGACGCAGCCAGTTCCCAGCCCCTGGCGCGCCTCAAGGGAGGGGGAAGGGAGTGTCGCCATCGAATCCCATGAAAGGCCTCGGGACCCACCTCCGGCTCCCTCCTGCTCCCGCCCTCGGCCCCACCTCACCCTGCCAGCACAAAGCCGTCCCGAAGGCAAGGGCCAGGCCTGCCGGGAGGCCGCCTGGACGCTACTGGACCCGGCGACCCGCGGCTCAGGCCGGGCAGGTCGCCGATCGCCGGCGGGTTTAGAGTTCCCATCCCAGACGGGAAGGACGCGCCTCCCGGCTCGCCCTTCAACGCGCGGGAAATCTGCCCCGCCACCCGGGCCCCAGCCTTTCCACCTGAGAGGCCCCGAGAAGGCCCGGCGCAACCCACGCAGCCCCGCTAGCCACGCCCGAGGTGGCGGCCTCCGGCGTGGAGGGCCTGGGCCGGCGGGTCGCGGCGGGGTCGCGGGCGCAGCGTCCGAGCGTGGGGGGGGGGGGGTTACTCGGCAAGTTGCAGGCGACCCTTCGCGTCCGCCCGAGGCACAGACTCAATGTCTCAAATTAAGTTCTCCCTTGTTCCCCAAACTCCCGGTCCTCGAGCACCTTCGCGAAGTCGCCAAACAATGCGGGGTAGTCCGGGGGGATGGGAACAGGCAGGGGGTCGGGGACAGCGCCGGGCTGTCCCCGAGACCCTGGGCGCCCCCGCGCCTCGCCTCCCGTCGGGGGCGCGCACACGCACACCCTCCTGCCCAAGTGCGGGAAGATGGCCGTTTCTGCTTCAGTATAAAGGCTCTTTGTTGCGCTCACACAAAAGCCGCCAAGACCCGCTTTTCCAGCAGGCCCTTTGGGCAAATGGAAGAAACTCAGCAGAATTTCCAAATGGCCCTAGAAGCCTGAAGCTGTAGGAGCGACTAAAAGAGAGAGGAATAACAGGCCTCCCGCCCTCATCTACCCAAACCTCTGTCAACATCTAAGTACTGGTCCTGGGAGACGGGAGTTGAGGTCCTTCATAAGGGAGGGAAGGAAAGAGGGAAACCTACTTTTACTATCAAGGCCCGAAGGGGGTATTAAACATTCACATTCTTGCAGGGTTTCTCCCCTTAACCAGGGTAGAAACTTAATCTGAAAAAAAGTCTGGATACACCAAAAAGAAAAAGAAAAAAGAAAGGAAAAAAAAAAAAAAAACCAACAATAGCAACTTAAAAAAAAAAAGGCAAAAACATAACAAACCAGTTGCCATCAGCCCAAAGTAGTAGTAGCAGCAGCCGGCGCGTGTGATCCACTTACTTGTCCGACTCTTGTGACATGTTTGATCCAATGAACTCGCTCCCCTTTTCCTGGAGCCTCAGCCTCTGGTGAAACTGGACTTTCAAGTCTGTGCAGGTGAAGGTGTGTGAGAGCGCCCGAGATGGCAGAACAAGAGCTACAGGTAATTCTGCTTTTCCGTCCCCCCTCACCACTCTCGCTCGCTCGCCCGCTCGCGCCCTCACCTAGCCGGAAAGGTGGGATAAGGAGGGGCCCCTCACATGGGGCCCGAGCTCGGAGGTGGCCCGGCGGCGCGGAGTCCTCCTGGATCGTGGCAATGGGCAGTCACAGAGCAGAAAGTGGCGGACTTGGTCGGCCACAGGTAACTTTCTCGCAAGGAGCTGAATTCTTTTACTAAAGGGTACAAGCCCGAGGGACGAGCTGCGCGGTGATTGGCTGTAGGGCTCCCTCAGGTGAGCTGCCATTGGCAGAGGCGCGCTCAGGTAAGGCCCTTCTCCAAGTGCAGGTAACTCACTCCGAAGTTTACCTGAGTGGAGCGGCGGCACGTTTGCAGCGCTGCGGCAGCCCGTGGGAGCCGAGGGTCAGTGCTTCGAGTGGACTTCACGCTACTTTTTCCTTCTTCCTCTTGGCCAGCCGGGGGTGTAGTGGGGGCGGGAGTGTGGGGGGCTTGGAGAAGCGAAGGAACCAGGAAAAAAAAAGCAACACCTGCAACCACTAGGGATTGTGGGTCGAACGGAAGGACTAAGGAGAGCTGAACTCTGGTATCCCAAGCCAACCGGAATCAAATGAGCGGCACGACCACAAGACTTTTAATTCCTACCTTAAGAAGGCTGTTTGACAGTTTCAGAAGAGTACGAGACTGAAGTTTACTTTGTGCTCACAGGAGGGGAATACACAACGATCGCCGGGTTTGTTGCGTAATTTCATTTTTAACATTCTTACCCACAACAAACACCTCAGTGCCTCCATGTGTAAAAGGTACCATGTAGATTACAGATTTTCAAAGAGGTGAGCATCCTTTTCATGAGCTGGGCAGATGATATTGGTGGAGTGTGGAGAATTGGTTCAATAGACACTAAAATGGCCCAGGCTCACCTCTTCCATCTCAACTCTGCAGCTTGGGATTCCAGAGCTGCAAACAACCACTAGGTCCGTTCCACACACCTGTTGTCTTTTGACGTTTCCAGGCAGACATCAACATTTACATTGTAATTCAATAGAAGCAGCGACTACAAAGGTGCTTTATCCTTCCAGCTTAGTATGGTTGCTACGGAAACAATTCAAGACGAAATTGACTTTTTTTGTGTGGTTCTGCTTCACCTGGTTGGAAACAACGTGAAAGTTCTGATAGGGATCTAGCCCATGCATATGAGTTGTGGAACTGAAGGAGGGCATAAAAAGCTTACCATATTTTATTTCGTGTTACCTTGCCAGAGTTCATACAACTTCTATTTTAATCTTTATGGATCAGATATTTTCTAAAAATTACATTATGAAACAAGGTTTGGTTGTTCCATGTTTTCACTTTCAGTAAATGAATTTTGAAATGTTATCCTTACTTTTTAAAAACAGTATAAGTACACGCATTTTTTAAAGATAATATAATATTTTAAGATTATACATTACCCACCTCTTCTCTACCTTCTTAATCTCCTTTTTAGAGGTAACCACATTCCACTTTTAGCTGTCTCTTTTGTCATTTACTTCCTGATTTCTAAATAATTTATGCTGCTAGCTCTTGATTTATCCATTTAGATGTCATGCTTTGACTACCTGTTGCCTCATATAAGGATTTAGCTCTTTCATACCTTGCCCAGTTTCTCCTTCTGCCATTCTTCCAACATCTCTCTTTCACAGTTTAGGGGTAGTAAGTAGTTAGTGACTGTGGATATACCAGTCAGCAGAGCCAACTGGTGTACTATGGTTGTTTTTTTCCTTATAAAATCTTTTGTATATTTACTTTGTTATGCACCCATCCTGATACTTTTCTTCAACATATCTACCAAGTAACTATTTTATTTTACAAATGATTAAAGAATCAATTTTATCCTGCCCCCCTCCCCTGGCAACATCCCTCCAAGTTTTCCATCCTTCTGTCCCAATGGAGATGAGAATTCTAAGTTGAAAATTTTTATTCATAAGTTTGTAAAAATTGCTCTTTTATTTTTTAGCATCCAGTATTGCTGCTGATAATTCAATGCCACCCGTATTCCATCTTTTTGTGACCTGTAATTTTTCTTTCTGGAAACTTTTAGAATAATCCCTTTACCTCTAATATTCTGAAATTTCATAATTATGTTCTGGGTACTCAAGGGTAAAGATTTGCCTAAGTTCAAATCATGCCTCTACTACTTGACCTTGGGCAAGTCACTTATTCTTGCTGTGCTTCAGTTTCCTCATCTATAATAATAGAATATATATGTATTTATATATATTATAATGGAAATAATAATAGTAATTTCCTCACTGATATATCTCAGCCATTTAGAATAGTGCCCAGACACATAGTAAGTCCTCAATTATTGTCTATTCTTTTTTATTTTTAACTCTTAGTTGGATATTGAATCCTCTTGATTAACCTTGGAATTTTTTTCCCCCCTTTCCTTTGGACATCTCTTCATCTTTTGTTCTGTTTGGGGAAAAAGTTCCTTCACTTTCTACTGATGTTTTTATCTCAGCTATTCTAAGTTCTTTTTATGTTATTTTTTAAAAATATTTTTATTGATTTTTATTGAAGATAAATAAATAAATATCCTCAGGTGAGGATTAAAAAAAGAACAAAAAACACTAAGTTGTTTGATCAGCTATTATCCATAAGAAGAAACTTGGGGAAGAATGAAATGTACCTGATGACTGAATTTGAAATCAAATAGAGATTTATAACTTAACCAACTGAGCATTAAATGGCAGTTTCCTTGCAGTTTGAAGCCACTTCTGTTTTTTGTGGTAGCATGGATATGCGTATTTACATGAACGCTCACAGATTTCATGAAGGCTCTTGAACTAGCAGTGTGAAATTCAGCCAGCAGAGAGCTGAAGTTTGCATATTTCCTTCAGGATAGCACGTGTTTCTGTTGTTTGGACTGGCCATTGGTAACATCAATAGAAAGCATGGTTCTGTAAAAACATTGTGCATTGAATACATGCCTTTATCTCTCTCTCTCTCTCTCTCTCTCTCTCTCTCTCTCTCCCTCTCTCTCTCTCTCTCTCTCTGGAGGTTTTTGGTTTTTTTCATTGAATTCATTGGGATGACATTAATAAAATTATATAGGTTTCAGGTGTACAATTCTATAATACATCATCTATATATTACACTGTGTGTTTACCATCCCCAATCAAGTCACCTTCCATCACCACTTATCCTCCCTATACCCTTTCTACCTCCTTCCACACCCCTTCCTCTCTGGTAATCACCATGCTATTATCTGTCTATGAAGGCTTTTTTGTTTTATTTTATCCTTTGTTTTGTTTCTGCTTAATCCTGTCCCACTGATAGAAAAGTAAAAGAGGAAATGAGAAGGCTAAAAATGACAACAAAATTTTACAAGTGTAAAGTGACTAAAGGAATAAAATTGATTTAGCGTAGCCAAGGAAGATGAATGTGAGTATCTGTAGACTCTGAGGATCAGGACAATTTGGCCTGTAAACTTCATAAAGATGTAGAAAATGAAGTTCCAGTTGCCATTAAAGGTGGGAGTGAGCAGTAGGGTTGAAACCAGAGCGATTGATCCAAAATCTTGATTCAAAGCTATTAGATCCCCTAGGTCCCCACCTCCACCCAGCATAATCAAGATCCTATCAGTATGAGTTTGTTAAGGCTGTCACAACCAAGTACCACAGACTGAGTGTTTAAACAACAGAATTATTTTCTCCCAGTTCTGGAATACAGAAGTCCAAGATTAAGGTTTTTACAGAGTTGTTTCTTTCAGATGCCTCTTTCTTGGTTTGCAGGTGGCTGTGTTCTTACTGTGCCCTCACAAGGTCATCTTACTATGAGCATACACATCTGTGCCTGGGTCCTAATATCCTCTTTTTATAAGGACATGAGCCCTGGTTGGTGGGCCTCAGTAACTGGAGCGTCAGCCCACACACCAAAGGGTCAAGGGTTCAATTTCTAGTCAAGGTTGCAGATGTGATCCCTGGCCCAGGGTTGAGGTGCATGTGGGAGACAACCAATCTCTCTCTCTCTCCCTCTGTCCCCCCCTTCTCTCTCTCCTCCCTTCCTCTCTCTAAAAATTCAATGGAAAAAAAATATCCTCGGGTAAGGATTAAAGAATAATAATAAATAAGGACATGAGTCCTCTTGGGTTAGGGCCTATCCATATGACCTCATTTTACATTAATTGCCTCTTTAAAGCTCTATCTCCAAATACAGTCACATTCTGAGGCACTGTGTTAGGACTTCAACATATGAATTTAGGGGAGACAGAATTCAGCCCATAATATAATTCCTCCTCCATGCTGGCAGGAAACAGAAGTGTGTTCTAGCCAAACTGAACCAGGAAGAATTCAGGCTGAGGTACATCAAAGGAACCATCAGGAGTCAGGCATTGGATCTATAGCAAGGAGAATAAGTGAAAGGTCATGTGCTAATCTGTGAGATACCATTTCCTACAGCTTAGTGATCCAGGAGCCAAGTTTATACCACCATTACCCATGCTTGTCCCCCAAGGTAGGAGATCAGAGGATCTTTCTATGAATACATTATAAGGTCCTAGAGAAAAGATCTACAGATTCTAACATGTGGATGTTTCTCAATTAGAGAAAGAGGGGAAGGAAGGAAGGAAGGAAGGAAGGAAGGAAGGAAGGAAGGAGAAGGAAGGAAAGAAGGAAGGAACCCACTATCTACTACATTTCCTTTCAATAAAGTCCAGCAGTGAACAAGTCCCACCCCCACACACATAGCTTCTATTAAGATTTTTATGCCATATTTCTATTTTTCAATAATTTTTTTCTTTATTGATTTTAGAGAGAGAGGAAGGGAGAAAGAGAAATAGAGATAGAAATAGATGAGAGAGAACATTGATTGGCTGCCTCCTGCATGCCCCCCCCACTGAGGATTTGGCCCACAACCTGGGTATGTGCCCCGACTGGGAATCAAACCAGTCTATGGGTCTATGCTCAACCACTGAGCCACACCAGTTGCTCTATGCCACATTTTTAAATACAAACACAAGGTTAAGGATCACCAAATATTTGAGAAAGCCTACAAAATGAAGTACGAAGACCAGAACAAAAGTGTAACTAAGTGATTTTGCGAAAAACAGATAGTGCAGAGATAGGATAAAGACTATCTAATTAATATGTGAGGAGATAATACATCCAAAAAACATGAACAGCATACTATTTAAAATCGACAAAACAACCATG